CCTTCTAAATTATATGACAGAAACATTTTTCCTTGGCTGGGAGTAAATCTGTCTCCTAGAACAATCCCCAGCACGATTGGATCCTACTTCTTTCACAGAACTGAAACTGCTCTTTTCTGAGAGGACTCAAATACCTCCCTTTTCAGCTGCTGTCAAATCCTCCTTATTTACCTGGCACTTCAACAGAGATCAGCAATGCATCACTCTACCTATTTGCTCCTAACATCTTTTCTCCTGTAATTGTCAGTACGTGTCTTTCCACAGGCAAATACCCCTGTGATGTTAGAGCTGGGTATCCAGGTCTTTACTACTGTCCCATCTTCTCTCCCACATGCAACTCCCTTCAGAAATGACAATCTCAGAAGCACATCCTCTGTCAAGAACGGTTCCAGTTATTCTCTTTCCTCAGTGCATATTGACTAAAGTTTGCTGAGTCGAGAAACACTGCTTGAGGCTCACAAGCTTTTGACTTGAATGCAATTGCAGATTTCCTTCTGGAATCTATACCTGCTTAGGGTCAGTTTCTAGAAGCTGCAGTGAGACTTCATGATCTAAACCAGCACCCTCATGGGAAGCAATTTTAATGGCACTTGGGCAGAAATGCTTATTCTTGATTTCATCTGACTTGAAGTAGTTCTCCAAGCTATACTTTAATAAAAAGGTTTAGTTCAAATGACATTAAAACAACTCTCACAGATTCTGATTGCCCCTTATCATTAGTCTTTATCCTCCCCAAAGCTCTGCAGTCTGTCTCATGAAACTCCTACTGTCTTGATACCTCATTATTCCCTTCTAAAATGTTATCATCATAGCCCACTTCACACCTCCTCTACCACACTGAAAAATGCTGCTGTGACCTACAGTGCATATTAAAGTTCCAGTTATAGCTATAGAATCAAACCTACAAAACCTATGCCCTGATCTGCCCGTGACTTGTAGGTCCCCTTTGGCTGGCCCATGCTTTCTTTATGCTTCAGCTTCCCCAGCCACGAAACTACTTTGTTCTTTGAGATTTATGCCTGGAAGCCACAGAACAGAGCTATCTATTAAGACTACTTCTAACGAGTTTTCTAGTGTGCTGCTACCTCTTTGAATGACTGAATCCACGCAGAGATTAATTATATCTGATAGACCTAAAAATGAAATCTGTCCAAAGGGCCCTGCTGGACGGTGGCTATCAACCAATAATCCAGCAACCTTTCCACTTCTTCTACCCACTTGCTCAATTATTCCTCGATGAAGAGGAATAGATATGAGGCACCCATGCCTCTCCAACCTGAAATAAGTTGCCCTTCTTTAGTTCTTTGCTGGGATAGTCTCAATAATGCTAAATGGCCGGTTATTTTTCCTAGCTCCACTCTCCCTCCCCAGACTGACTCCTTCACAAATCCCCCTGATTGCATTCAGCCGGGTGCTGGGAGTTGAGACCAGAAGAACTGATGCTCTGCCTGAGAACATTCGCCACCCACATACTGCAACAGTGTTCAGGAGCTAAATCTTATTTATGAGGCTTAGCTTCATTTCCAGGTTCTTTGTGCCAAAAGCCCAATGCAAGGTTATTTGTGCCCGTGAGTGCTCGCACAGTTTTGGCTTGATTTGCTACACACTGGCCCTCTCTTAATCTGGTTTGGGGTCTGTAGACACAATACAATGGAAAAACTTACAGCCACACTAATGCATGAGTCTGTGGATATGACAAAGGACATCAGGAGATGCATGTAGAGACATTCAAAGGACAGTAAAAAAGTATTAGGGGACTCTTAAATAAAAGACATTGAAACAGCACTGAAAGGTGAAACAACTGTATTGTAACATCTAAGCAAAAACCCAGAATGGGAACGGGGCCACTTGCTTTGAACGCTTCATTAGGCATGTTTCTCTGTACCCAACTAAAACGCTAGCCAAACTATAGGCATTTGGTAGACAATACCCTTGGGACTAAACACAAGTCCATTTTGGTGCTCAGATCTCTTAAATAGAAGGCAAACCACTCTGACTTTTGTTGTGGCATAGGTTTTGGAAGAAAACTGACTCTCTAGCTTCATTTTTGTTGAATTATAGCAAGTGTAAAACTTACTCTCTACCCTCATTTACCTGAAAGACTTGAGCGTGATACTACAGGAACTCATTCTCCACGTGAGAACTCGCCCATGTGTTGCTTGACGTGGGACCATGTATGATGTGGGATCAATGCCAGCCTCAGAGGAGCACCTTATGGAGTTCTTTACATCGATTGTCCCACATGTACTTGGGAAAGCTTAGATGTTCACATCTCCCTTTTGCATCTGTATTTGTCAAAAATGAGCTGCAAAGGCAAAGAAGAGCGTCTCAGTTATGGATGCTTGTCAGGAAAATGTAACTCCACCCCACCCTCTGCCCAAGGTAAAGGCTAAGGAACGTTTATCATTTGTCTCATGCACTTCTGTCCCTCCTCGAGGCTCCACGTGTTACAAGACCAAAAGCCTCAACCTGTGTCTATAGCACAAGGTGATGAATCAAGCTGGAGTACATAGCTTGATTATAAAGCACCATGCTTATAAACCAGCCTTCCTGAAAAAGCAGCCAAATCTCACAGTGGTCCTTGTAATAAGCTTCCACGTTTACATCTTTGCTACGGGGACTGGTTGCGGGATGCCTTGTGCCTCAGCCCAGGAGCAGATCCCGGGGCTGAGTCGGCACTCGCAGAGCACCGCTGGAAGGGCCCCTCCACTGCACCCTCTGTGCACATCTCAAACTCCTTCCTCCGCCTCTCCCCCGTCATTTTCCCTTCCTATAGAGTCAAGTGAATGAGGTCGGTTCCTGAATGCTCTCCCCGAGCCGGGCCGGCCCCTCCGGGCGGTGCAGCGGGGCCGGGTCGGGGGAGGCGGGGAAGGGGGAGCCGCTGCCGTCACCGAGGCTCCGGGCTCTCCGCCGCGGCAGCCCCAGCCCCGCTCCCACCCCTTCGCCTGTTCCCACCCTCCTTCCCTTTCTCTCGCTCTCTCGGCGAGAGCGCCGGTGCCTCCCTTCCCAGATGGCAGCCGGCAGCGCGATGCAGCCTCCCGCTCCTCCTTCCTCCTCTCCCACCTCTCCGCCTCGAAGTTAATGCCATGCTGCCGCTGCTCCTCCCGGCGCTGCTGGCCGCCTGCCTGCCGCCCTGCCAGGGCTGGAGCCCCTCGCCGCCTGCCAGCGGGCAGGAGGAGCCGGAGCAAGAGCTCTTCTTGCCCGCTGTCAACTCCTCCTCCAGCTCCTTGGCCAGCCTCGAGATGGACCTCGACGGGGCAACAAGCAAGGAGGAAGGTAGCACCTCCAACCCTGGCACAGCGGCTGCTCCTAGCCAAGAGCCTTTCCCTTCCTCTCCCACCTCCTCCGGGCAGCAACAGCAACACCAGCAGCAGCGTCCCCATCCGCAGCCCTCCGAGGACCCGCACTGCAATATCAGCGTGCAGCGGCAGATGCTGAGCTCGCTGCTGGTGCGCTGGAGCCGCCCGCTGGGCATCCAGTGCGACCTGCTGCTCTTCTCCACCAACAGCCACGGGCGGGCCTTCTTCTCCGCCGCCTTCCACCGCGTTGGGCCGCCGCTGCTCATCGAGCACCTCGGGCTGGCGGCCGGCGGAGCCCCCCAGGACTTGCGCCTCTGCGTCGGATGCAGCTGGGTGCGGGGACGGCGGGGAGGGCGCTTGCGGGGCTCCGCTCCCCAAGCCCCCTCCGCATCCTCTTCCTCCTCCTCTTCCTCCTCCTCCTCCTCCTCCTCCTCGCTGACCTACCCGCCGGCGGCAGAGCCCGGCCAGTACTGGCTGCAAGGGGAGCCACTGAATTTCTGCTGCCTGGATTTCAGCCTGGAGGAGCTAAAGGGGGAGCCGGGCTGGCGGATGAACCGCAAGCCCATCGAGTCTACCTTGGTGGCTTGTTTCATGACTCTGGTCATCATCGTGTGGAGCGTGGCCGCCCTCATCTGGCCCGTGCCCATCATCGCCGGCTTCTTGCCCAACGGCATGGAGCAGCGCCGCAGCACCTCCGCCGGTACCACCACCGCCACCTCCAAGTAGCCTCTCCTGGTGACTCCCCTTCTCTTCGCCGTGTCCCGACGGGCCGGACTCTGTCGTGTTTTTCTTGTTTCCCTGAGGGGAGCAGAGCCTGCTCCTGTGTGCTCGTTTTGTATCTTTAATACCCGTTTTAAACGAACCTTTTGGTAAAAAAAAAAAAAAACAAAACAGAAGAAAAAAACAAAAAGAGATAAAAAGCTGCCAAAAAAATCAACGCGGGAAATAAAAGACCTTCCCACCCAACCGCCTTTGTTGTAGTCGGGGTAGCTTTTTGTATATGGATACAGTTTGAGTGGGGTTTTTTTCTTAATTTACAGAAAGGGAAGTCTCTTTAGGGCAGGATGGAGAGCTGGAGCAGTATATGTATTGTTAATGCTGAAGCTGAACTTTAATGAACCTTCTACACTGTATTTCCCAGTTGAGATAGTGTGTATTATTGTAGCTCTGCATTATCTGGCTTTTAATACAGAGGTTTTCTTTCTGGAGGCACCGTGGCCTTTTGTTGGTCTGTTTCTGCCAGGGTGGGATGGAGGGTTTGGCTAAAAATGGGCTGCAAAACTCCTATGAGGGTTATACCAGGTTTGATGGTGGAAAAAGGGAATCCCAACCACTGTCTGAATGGTGTTTACCTTACCCCTACAGTAGGTTGAGGTCTATACGCCTGTATCCAGGTTGTGTGGTGTGCAATGCAGAGCACGTCTGTGCAGACACCTTCCAAGGTGATTTACGTCACAGAGCTCCACAGAGTATGGCTTTCTCCTTGGTGGGATGGCTTCAGTGTGGGGGCAAGTCATTGATTTCCACAGAGTGTGTCCCTCAAAAATACGGGAGAACGCTGGGGCTGTTCAGCCTGGAGAAGAGAAGCTGCGTGGAGACCTCAGAGCAGCTTCCAGTGTCTGAAGGGGGCTACAAGAATGCTGGAGAGGGACTCTTCATCAGGGACTGTAGCAATAGGACAAGGGGTGATGGGTTCTGAAACAGGGGAAGTTCAGGTTGAATATAAGGAAGAAATTCTGCCCTGTGAGGGTGCTGAGGCGCTGGCACAGGGTGCCCAGAGAAGCTGTGGCTGCCCCATCCCTGGCAGTGTTCAAGGCCAGGTTGGACACAGGGGCTTGGAGCAACCTGGTCTGGTGTGAGGTGTCCCTGCCCATGGCAGGGGGTTGGATCTGGATGAGCTTAAGGTCCTTTCCAACCCAAACCATTCTGGGATTCTATGAAAAACAACTCGGATGCAGTGTATCTGTTGGAGGCATGGCAATATCACACCTCTCTTTCATCATGGGGTTGCTCACCGAAAGCCTGTAGGGTGGAAAGAAGGCAGGAGGTGTTGATCAGGAGCTGTGCAAGTGTGCAAGGAAGAAAGATGTGCAAGGTTTCTTCTCTCTTGTCAGAGCAGACAGCTGCACAGCCTGAGATATCATTTGTTGTATACCTCCAACTGTTTAGCCTGATGAGAAGTTGTTCTATTTGCCTTAGATATCGTTAGTCCAGCTGAAGTTCCAAAGCAAAACATGAGCTAAATGAGAAAGATTTACAATAGGAACTCATTCCTTTGTTAAGACCAATGTATTTAATTTGTTAGGAATACACAAGCTCACATGAGGCTAATTCGATGTATTTGTAATGTTTTCTTCCCTATGGACTGGTGGAAATGACTGGATGAAGTGTCTGCAAGGATTAAATTCTTAGGATTCCTATTTTTTTAATTGAGAACAAAATAAAATAAATGCATGTTTTATGTGTGTGCTATCTGGAAAAAAAATAATGCAGAGAGAAAAAGATGGACAAACAGCAGAAATAAATCAAGATGATAAAATGATCCATGTTACCAGGCTACCTCCCTCTGCACCCACTGTTTTTCCTATTATTCTTAATGGGCGCACCACTTGAGTGAACACTGCAGTAGTGTTGCTATCAGAAAGTAGAGGATCCAGTCACCATGAGAAGTGTCCATCTGACCTGTTGATCCAAAGGGGACCTTCCCTCGTACACTTAGCTTACAGAGCCCTGTTTTTCTTTCCTTGATGTGAAGAACATAGCGTTGTTTCCACCTCGTGCAAGTCCTTCTATGCACAGACATGCTAAGAGAATTGCTCTACATGTGGAATAAACCTCAGAGGAGCTGCCATGCTAGGAAGGATTTGATCTTTTAAATGAAGATGTACTTAGGGACAGTGTTTCTTTTTTTTGGATGAGATCCATTTAGACAGAGGGTTAACAATTGCTGGAGGTTTTGCTGCCTTTCCAGTGCATTGCGAGCAGGGAGCCTGTGCTTAAACTCAAGGTTGGGATCTCTGTTTTGCTTCTCCTAGTTTCACTAGGGACGTGCTGTCTGTTTCCTGTATTGCATCAACATAAGCAAGAATCATAGAACAGTTTGGATTGGAAGGACCCTCCACAGGTCATCTGGTCAAGAGAGTGCTGCTGCTGTCTGAAACAGGCAGCTTCAGTTATTAAAGGGTTATTATTTGCAGTTCTTGCAGACACCTCTCAGCTGGCACACCAAAACTGGTACAACATGGTTTGTGTCTTCCAACTTCTAACGGCACCAGCTTGAATACAAACCCTGCAAACAGACAGTGCCACGCTCAGAATAGTTTGCTACTTCACTTAAACAGCGTGATAGAAGGGACAGATAGAGAGGTTTGCTCGTAGGTCTCCTGTAAGTACCCTTGTAAGTGGAGCTTACTATTAAGAATCTGCTAAAATGTGGAATGTTTAAAACACAGGGATGGAATTGAACAGACAAGCAAGAAACCTAAAAGGCAAATCTCATCCAGAATACAACAAACTGCAATGTTTTCAGGGTATGCTGAGCTCAGACTCAATGTGCAAAGAGCACTTCTAAGCTAGGGAAGGTGCTTCCTTAGATCACAGTAACCATCGGCCTAGGGATGTTCGCTTTGCAGGGAGAGGATGGTCCATGTTTTTGTGCTTTAAAGAGGCATTTAAGGTTCAGTGAAGGGCACAGATATTACCTGATCTACAGGGCTGAGCTTGGACCCAACTCCCTGAACCCTCTGGTTTCAGTGAGGAGGCAGCAGGGTTTCTCCTGTAAAGAACAGAGAGTGGAAATGCATTATGCAGACTGTGAGTTGCTATAATACCTAACGTCGGTAACCCTGCTCCCATAGCTGTGGCTGCTGCTATGACTTTAAGTAACTGATAATTTTGAGTAACAAAAGGTGCACACAGTTTTCGCCCACATCCATGGGGATTGCATCTGAATCAAATCCAGGAGAGTCAAGCCCAGCACGATGTGGAGCGATGTGTCTGTACCCCAGCTGGTTTTAGATGCCAACTTCAGAGACCAAAGTGTCTTCTTTCTTTGCTTTTGGACTGGCGGTGGAGCTTGCTTTGCTGGGGATGATTCTAAGCCTTTTGTATTCATTTGGATTTATTCCTAAAACCAGTTGGTAGCAGGGTCAGCACGAGAGCAGGTTAGTCACCATATATAACCCTTCATATTATTAGGGAGGGCATATTTACACTTATATGTAAGTACATTTATGCTTATATGTGCGTACATCTGTACAAGAGGACTTACTGTGTAGAACTATGTCAAAACAAAAGGGAGGAAAAGGATGGTGAGAAACAAGTCCTACTGCATAACACTGGTTTTCCTTCACTATTTGGTGGATCGTGTTCCCTGGTAAGTGATCCTGACTTTATTTATGTACGTTGTTGGAAAGCAAAGAGTACTTAGAAACAGGGGCACTTGCTTGATTTCCTTTTTATGTAGTGCAACTATATTACAGATTTTTACTTCTTTCGTTTCATTCCAGAAACCAGGAACTCTTTCCAGAGAGAGACTGTTGTAAAGTGCTAGTGTTAGGTTGGCATATATTCTTTCTGTATATTCAGACCTCAGAATTGAATCTCCTTCACGTTATTTTCTTTGTTATGATCTATAGATGTATTAGAAGCAAAAGTATACCGACAAATATGTAGTTTTAGCATGCAAACAGTGTTGCTGTTACTTGGTGCCACATTGCTTCCCATAATAAATATATTCAAAAGTAGCACTTTATGATCATAATTGCATATTACATCAGCACACTGTTGTTAGATAGGTTATCAATAATAAATAGCAGTTTCATATGTCAGAAAGTAGAAGTGTTTGGGGCAAAATTGCCATACGTGGATTAATGTGAGAGTTGTTACTTATTCAGGACTTAGTCCTTTTAGTGCTTTCGATGATTAATACGACTGCAACAGCAGCAATGTTTGTGCAGTGAATAACCCTCAATATGAGTAAGGGCTACTGAACCAGGCCCTAGAAAAACCTTATTAAAAGACTTAGTTGGCTGAGTAATTATTACTCATTGTGACCTTCACTTGCTGAATAAAAGTATCTCCAGGGCTGACATTACGTGATCCCAGGGGCTGAACAAAAGCCCAGTGAAATCAAATAGGTAATTGAAGTTTTGTATGACTGAAGATCAAAGAATCTCTATCTAGATATAAGAGTAGGTATCACATTCTTGTTCCTCTCTGGTATTTATACACGCAGCTTATAAAGCCAAAGCCAGGATTTCTCACTCCAATGTAAGTCCTTGCTAGTCTGGGAATTCGCTTCGTTCTGATGCTAGTGTGAAAATGCCACTTATTTTTATTGAATTTTACTGAATAAATGTGATTTTTTAAAACATAGTTCAGAGAAAGGTCTTGATTTTTCAAAAAACATTTTTAGTAACTGTGTAAATATCAAATCTCAAACATATTCAGACTTCCAAACATCAAAAGTCTTTGTAGCCAGTAACTGATTCATAAAAACACCTTTTAAAACCGAACCATCGCTTTCCACTTCTCCCCTCAAAAGCAGAACATTTCAATCAAGATCAGAAGTGTGTTTGAGTGTTTCGTCTTGCAAAAGTGATTTTATGGGGAAAATAAATCTCTTCCATGATTTAGAGCTGATAACAGGTTGTGACGGATGAGGCTCTGTGTTTCTTGTCCCACCTTCATAGTGATTCTCATCCAACAAATTGCCCCAAACAATTGTAAATTAGAAAACCCCCAAACAATTGAAGAAGTAGCTTAGCCCTTTTTTTGTTCCTATTCTCTTATGCCAAGGGAGAAAGCAAAGAAAATTTGGGATATTAAAGTTATTGATTGGATATATCAGGATGGTGTTTCATTACATTTGTGCCCACATTGTCACAATACAAACGTCTTCCAAGATATGGATCCAAACTTGATCATTTATGTGATAATCAGAGTCTCTGGATCTGCATGTTGGGACAGCCAGGATCCAAAACCTTATCTCTTATTTTAGCTTGCTTATTATCTCCACAAGTTAACAATGTCAGAGCAGAACGGGAAGATCCAAATATCCTATGAAACACTGTGCTGCTGTGTGTTCGTCTTGTTCCTAGCTGTCATAGGAAAACATTTGATTAATGAGACATGGATTTGACATCGATGCCGTTACAAGGAAGTGAATTCACTGGGAGTGTGAAGTTAAACTGTATTTTTGTCCCTTTTGTGGTGACACTCGCTAGAAGCAGTGGGACCTTTCCTTGTTGGTGTCATTCTGGGTGTTGCTAAGCAACATAAAGTGGTTAAAACGGAGCTACAGAAGAAGAGCACGGAGGAATAACGGCAACAAAAGACATAGAAAAAGCATAAAAGAGATGAAATGTGCCAGCACATTCTGCGATGAAGTTGCTAAGTATCAACTAGGAAAAAGGCAGTGATTAAGATCATAGAGAAAAAAGAAAGCTGACACGAGATGAATTAGGGACTTGATTCCGTACTTCACATTCAATCAAATTTTTTAGTGCTTTGCTTGAATAGTCGATTGCAGTTTTGGTGCCAAATGGCAAAAGTGAAGGCAAAAGAGAATGAGAGCCTGGGAAGACATGGGAGGCTTGGGAAAAATTGAAGTGGAACCTCTATACCATAAACAAAAAGAGAAAAGGAATCACTCTACATGTTGCTGGAAACCAAGCAATGAAACGGCATGGCACTCTCCTGCATACACTGCATACACTGATTTTGCTTCAGATGTTCTCCAAGGTTGTAAGGAAAGCATGCTAAAAGCTGTTTTTATGGGATGGATATGGATCTTCCACCCTATCTTTCTGTGATCTGTGTCAAATGCCCGTTTCTCGTTGTCCGGCACACGAATGTTCATCACAACTGCATTAAAGCTTTTCAGCTGAACTGAAGTAATGCTGGTATGACTGTATTTCCCAGGCTGGGCCACTGCTGTTAACAAGACTACATGCTGGTATGCTGCTTATAGCATTCTTATCTGTCTTGCCAGTACTCTCTCACTCATACATTTTAAAGACTACCTACATCATTTTCCTTTTTAGTCCCTGTCTTCATTGTCTCCAAAGCTTCACGCCGTTTGTCTTCTGTCACTGAAAAGCAATCATTTTCAGCTTTGTTCTTTCTTACTATCTCCCTCTTCCCTTCTCTCTTTCCATAGCATGTTTTTATCTTGACATTTTCTGTCTGTAGATTTCTCACTTCTCTTTCCCACAAGTACATCTTTATTATCAACCTATAAGAAAGTATTCCAGGAAACTGTGCTACCAGTTTCTTCTGCTTTTCCACTCTGCTTTCCACCCATTCAGACTGTACCTCTCAAGCCTTTGGTCTGTGGTACCTATAAGACAAAGGAAACCTTGTGCTGATGGCAAAACCCAAGTGCAAAGTTGTCTCTGTCTCACCCTATAGGACACCTAACCTATGTCCTGTAGTCAGGACTTCTTCCACACCCTGCCCCAGGCATAGAGCAGGGGCCCTAAACTACTGTCTTCACCTGCTAAATGAGAAATTGATGCATTTGAAGAGCTTCCTTCCTCCTTAATTCCTTAAAGTCCTGTGTGTGAATAACCCTCTACTCATGTGCCTGCCCAAAACCCTATCTCATGGATCGTGGGAGCCCTCACATGCCACCTTTCCCACATATCCTTGATCAAAATGTTGGGATGCGTCTCACCCTGCCTTTGCTAACCAAAGGTAGATGTCTCACACCTTGGCAACCTCTGCACAGTCAGAGGAGCAATGATCTCATTTAGGAATCAGTGTTTAAAGTTACACTCAGCTCAGGTATGCAACTCCTGGGTCCGAAACATTACTTTTCAGTTAAGGTAATGCAGAAACGGAAGGCCCTGGATGATGGCACATGGAAAGGCTGTGCAAGCAGAGGACGTAGCAGATGTTTCAAGTGCTGGTCTAGTAGCAACCTGGCTTTAGTAGTAAATGGCTGAGTGGCCAGGGCAGCTCACTGCAGCCCTGCTTTTATAAGCTGATAAACGTGTACAGGTCACAGTTTATGAGGCTCAAGCCCTCTGAAAACATGTCTGTGTCTGCCTGTGGAGGAAATAATATTTACTCTTCCCATACTGGTAGGGAAAGGATTCATGAGCTAAATCCCATATGGCATGTGAAGCACAATAAAAAATGCAGAACGTGAACATTATTTTATTCATTATGGGTTCTTTTTTGCACTTCAGGGTATGGTTTGAGCCTTGTGTTGTTAAATTAAAGTATTCCGCACAATTTTGCCCACGATTTAGCCAGGCAATATCTGTTCTCTGGAACTGCTTTTCCCATTGAAAGGTGCTGCTGTGAGCTGATGTATTAAAAACAAATCATTACTAAATGATGAATGTTCCTGGAAGAGATTCTCATTAATCCAAAAGAATCCCCCAGGGTGTAAGAAATACTTTCTAGAAGGTGAATATATGAAGAAATTGCTGCGGAGGGAGCTGGTGGAGATTTAATCATAGGGCTACTTCATTTATTTTCTTGCACTGCGTGTTTTAGCACATTTTCTCTGGGGAATATGAGCTGTGCCTAATTATGCCAGAAATGTAGTTGCTTCTAAACGGATACTGGAAACTACTTGCTTCGGGCAATACTTACTGTGAATTCCTGAGATCTCTTCATTTCCTCCAGGACAAGTAAAGCGCTTAATGATGCAGGGTCACATCATTTTCTTAACCCAGAGAAACCCACTTTGAGGCATGATGTTTACATGCAACACCCCATCCCTTCCCCGACACGGTGATTTCCCATGGCACCCCAATCCCCACTATCTATTCGTATGGTGTTAGGAGCATGAAGACAGATGCCTTATGCCTCTGTGCTCTCCCCTGGCCGCACATGACCTTTCCTGCTGCCCTGGAAGCACAGCTATGGTGGATATTACTGTGAACAAGTTTACATCAGGTTCACACAAGCAGCAGTTTCTCACCAAAGCTGGACTGGTGGCAGCTTCTGGAGAGGAGCACCACCAGCAGACCTCGAGTTCCTCTTGCCCTCCGTTGACTACACTCCATGCCCATGCAGTGCTCCACAGCTCCACAGAATACTGCAAGACTTCCTTGTAGGGCAGCTTAGGAAAACCACATTCACAATTTAGGAAATAAATGAGGTTTTAGCCTGAAAGCCTTTTTGAACAGAAAAGAGCTTTAACTGAGCTATTCAGGAATGCCTGTGTATAGGTTAGATGTAAGGAAGAAGGTCTTCCCTGTGTGGGTTCTGAGCTGCTGGCACAGGGTGCCCAGAGAAGTGGTAAATGCCCCATACCTGGCAGTGTTCAAGGCCAGGTTGGACAGGGCTTGGATCAACCTGGTCTAGTGGAAGATGTCCCTGCCAGAGGCAGGGGGTTGGATCTACATGGGCTTTAAGGTCCCTTCCAACCCAAAGCCTTCTGAGATTCTGTATGAGCCTTGTAGCGATGTCTTTAACTAATACTCAGCTTTACTGAGGCCTTTTTAGGTTGCTTTATTATCTTTTTTCAGAGTTTGACTAGGAATTGTTGTAGATAACCTGGGAATGCTCCTTTGCCCTGCATATAATGTGTAATCCATAGAGTTTGCCTTAGCTACCCTGATGGGAAAGCAGATTGCCCATGACGAAACTCATCCTCCAAAATGCCACTTATCTCCAGTTCTGAAAGGGACTCATATCCTCTCCCCCTGACACTGCCATCATAACACTTACAAGCACCAGCTCGTGCTGGGTTAAGACAGCTCTTACTTTCCTCCTACATGTGGAATGCTTCATGCCTGTGACGACTTTGAGTTCCCTGAATTCAGCCGGTAAGATGGATAATGGTGCTGCCCAATGCTAACTGAAGTGTTGTGGGTGGAATGGGTCAGAGATTTACTCCCACATAAAGTACAGAAGAAAACAGCATTTGCTAATCTGTTTTCTTACATGTGCAGAGCACAGTGAAGCAGAAACCAGTGGCTTTACCTGTGTAAGAAAAACAAAGTCCCTGAAGCACAGATGCTGAGCGATCCAGCTCTTCAAAAACTAACCCAAGAACCATTATCTGTGCACGTAACTCCTGCTGATGGCCATGAGGACAGCCCCAGTGTAACTGTGTGACTGGAACAGGGTCACTTTGGGAAAATCCTCCAGTTAATTCCATCAAACTGTGTGTGATTCAGATGATAGTTCACTGTCTTTTGTATCTCCATGGCTATCAAGTTGTCTCTATTGATCTCTTTCTTCTGTTACATATAAAAAGATGAATAATATTGATGATATTTCTGACAAAAACCCCTACTTAAAATCCCAGTTTCTAACAACAATATTCAGAGTGCTCTTAAGCTGGAAAACATCAAAGAGTTAATACATTTCTTTAATGTATTCAAAATACCAGAAGCCTCAGTGCTGAGGACTACAGCAACAGAAAGCATTCACAGCAAGCACCCAAGCACATGTTGTGTGCTATTACTTGACAAATAATTGTTATGCTTTATCTACCTCTTTTTATATTCCAATCCCACATTCATCACAAAACCAATTTCTCATGCCAGTGCACATAAACCATTTTCAAACTCCCACTCTGACTCCCTCAATGACACAAGCATACTTCACCTCTCTATTACTCTGCCTCATATATTAGGGTTTAAAAGGTCCAAAATGTTCTTTCCCTTTGACCATCTTCATTTTCTTGCCTTTATTTCCTACAGCTGCTGCACTGTCTGGTTTTGCTCAGCATGTTTCTAGCTGCGGTTATTTAGCAAGCAATGGAATATGTGAGCAATTCAGCTAAAACTTGCTGCAGGCAATACTAATACTTCTAGGCTTGGACTTAGCACAGGAACAGAGAGTGCTGGAGGCTTCCTTGCACTGCCTGCTCTAAAGTGTGGAGTGTGGCTTCAGAAAAGAATTAAATCAATGCTCATTGCGGTGATTTTAAGGAATTGATCTTTATTCATCAGTTCAAAGCATTGAGCAGCCAATCTGGACGAAGAATAAGGGAAGGAGGATGTATCAGCTCCTCTGCTCTTAATTTAAGCTTTGGTGGTTTCGATGAATTTAATAAGTAGGTGTGTTGAGGGGTGCAAGTTTATACATTACTATAGGATTTTGAGTTACTTCAGAGAACTGAAATGTAGAGGTTTGAGTTACTTCAGAAAAAAGAAAGAAAATAGACATATGCTAAAGGAATAGAGCACATGAGGAGCATTACTGATAGAAAGCACTGCACAGCAGCACAGCTTCCCATAAGTCCCACTTATAAACCCATCCCACAGCATCGTTACATGCCAGTTCAGTAAGCTGAAACAGCTGAACCTCCTCCTCGGGGGGAGCAGGAGAGTGAAACCCCTAAGAGAGAGCAAGGCAAGGGCTGAAGGCAGCAGTCACCATCGCCACTGTCAAGTAAGCTCTTCGGAGGTAGAACCCTACAGCCGTGGGCACAGGTCCATGAGCCGTTAGCATCTGAGAAGCTGCTTTCCTCTTGTGGCTGCTTGGTGAGAGTTACCACCTTGTGCTAACATGGCTGTTGGTGTGAGAGCTGCTCCAGGAACAGTGGCAAACCCACCATGTGTTTGGGGTGGTGTGAAGAGGCACTTAGAGCTGCTCTAACTTCCATTTCCATGAGCTCAGTCATCCTGCCTTGGCTTTCGCTCTTCTCCACTCTTAAAGGTGGCTGCTCAGGGAATGCCCTGGGTGTTTAGCACCCATAACACCAAAACAAAGTCTTCAGGTTGGTACCTACTCGTGGCAGCCAGCATTTTTACAAAGCATTTCAACCAAGTAAGATGTTTTGCAGTTGTTTGCACCTTAAGGTGCTGAGCAAATGGAATCCAAGCGTCGTGGCTGAAGGGCATTAATGTCGCCACTGCCTGCACCAGTACTCCATTCATATTCAAGGTTTCACGCTTCCTTCCCCATGTTATTTTTCCCTGTTGATGTTCTGGCTCCTAGACCCCACAACAACTTGGAGGGTTTCCTGTTTTCACTGACTCACTCATCAGAATGCTCGGTGCATGATGGTTTTGAATCAGATATATTCTTAATCGTGTATTTAATTGCATAACCTGAATTTTCTTTGGAAGATGAAAGCAAGATAAAACAACTACTGCTGTTCTTCTCACAGACAAATTCATTCCTCGCTCTAACACTGTTAGGTGAGCTCTGCTGATGCCCAAAGGTCTGAATGATTAGTGATAACACGACTGGTATTCTAATTCAGCAGTGTGCTTAGTTAGAGTCCCTGTGCATGGATATTAATGCTTCACGTCTTTAATAACCAGAAACTGTGTCTAATAAGGTTATGCTTCTGTGTACGTTACCCAGAAGATGGCATTTAGAAAACAAGCTATGCCTTGTCTGAGAGGTCGAAATTGTACTCAGGTTACCTTCTGCATAGTAAGAAATGCAGAAAATGAGTGCAAAAACGTATGAGATGGATGGAAGCAATTGGAGGCAGTATTAATGGAAACTGGGCTTCTATGGGGAATGGCACAGTATCTGAACGGTAACATGGAGCACACAGAATTGACCATGATTGTGAGAAGGTGTTGGAAGTGTGTGACTTTACTACAGACTTTGGAAACGCTAGCATGAGTACCTCTTTGTATTATGAGCTTCAGCCAGCCCATCCTGACGTGCTGCAGGCACAAGTCAACACCTCAGGCCACAGCCCAGCAGCATAATCAGCACATGTCTCCCATGTGGCTGTGCTGGCTGCCATCCACCCCACAGCCCTTGTGTACCTATCCATGATCACCAGGGGCATCCCTTTTCCAAGATAGCAAGAGCAGTTTCTTCAATAAGCCAGTGTCAAGAAAGTATCACTTATTTATCTTTAAAGACCTGCTTTTTAACTATTTATAGTGAATTAGGAAGTGATAGATGTTGTGTGTTGCAATGCTATTAGATGTTAAAAGAGCCATAAATCGTTTGTTATTCAGTCCCTTATCCTCTAGAACAATCTGCAACATTTATTTCTTTAATGAAAAGTTCTTTATTCTCTGGTCAACTCTTTGTAACAGCAACAATCATATCCTCTGTGTGATCAATAAATAATGAGGAACTGATTCCCTTGTAACCACTCTGGCCCTAATGCTGCAACCCCTGTGGTTTCAGCATCATTTCTCCTGATTTACACTGGGGAAATGAGGTCAGGACCTTTTTTTCTCTGCCAAATAAGAGGAAGCTTTTCCCTGGCTGTCCCTAGCAATTGCTGACAAACAGGGGGGCAAACTGCCTGCCCATGAAATCCAGAGCTGAGGAGGCTGGAAGTGCTCCCGCAGCCAGCTACCCATTATCCTCCCACCACAGGAGCTGCCTGACTACCCACATCTCTATCCACAGGCTGGAGAAGGACTCGTGACAGCATGAGACTACCTTGAGGTGCAGACAAACCGAGCGACTCCCCACAGCTGAGCTATAAATCAGGCTCTGCAGCCTGCCAGCATCACCTGCCTGCTGGTAGCTTGTAAGTAAGCCAGCTGCAGAGCAGGGTTAATATTTACCTACATGTCTCAGGCGGGTGGTGTTCTGAAGATGGAATGCGTTACAGAGTAAGTCATCATTAAGCCTTTACACTGGCGTGTTTACTCACCTCTAACAGCTTCCAGAGGTGCAGCAATGCAATTAAACCAGACGATATCTATAGCTGCTTGCCCTCTGCTAACACCTCATCGTCTCATGTATTGATTTAACGCCTGTGCTGGCGGGGTAACATAGGCTCGCTGTGTTTTACAAGTACCACTTTGCTGACCTGATTTCTGTGTACTGATCCTGCCTGTTTCTTTGTTCTTTTGGTTGGTATTTTTCTACCGTATCTGCCAAAATATACAGGAGCTTACCAGAGCCTCAAAGGCAGGGTGGCTTAGCCATGGCTCTGAGTGTTTCTGGAAGTAAAATGTGCTGTGGGGTTGGGGTTTCTGGGCAGCGAAAGTATCCTTCATTACACTGCATCAAGAGATCTTTAAACCCAACCTTTAGCCCTTTTGAGTCCTGTGGCTTCGAACAGAGATGGGCAAAGTGCAATCATTTCCATTTGCTCTGGCTGGAGAGGTTTTTTTTTCCTTTCCTCATGACACAGCTGTTGCCATTTGCTTTTTCTTTAAAGGCAATAATAATGTTCCAGCCTGCACCCTTATTACTGTTTGTCATTAGCCCTTACAGGGGTCCCTGTGTTTTTGTTACAGGCATTATCAAAGGAAAAGAAACAAGGAGGAGATGTGTGTGTGTGTGTCAGCTCACTGCACGGAAGGCAATTTTGCTGCTGGCCTTTCGCATCATTAATACTGGAATAAAGAATTACATGAGAAGGAGAAGGAGCGTCTCTGGCACAGATCTCAATGTGGTGAAGAGAAGATGTTATTTTGAGAGATGCAGTCATTTAATTTATTACCCTCTGACAAGCTAAGCTGTAGTTTTTCTCTGATTATACAAAACTTGGTCATCACGCACTCATCCTCCCATCTCCAAACCCATGATGCTGCACAGACAACTGTGCCACACCATCAACTTGGGCTGGGAGAGAAAACCTGTCCTTCACCAAGGTGATGCTCCCTCTTCCTTTCCTCCCTTCTTCCTCCTGAAAGGATTCATAGGAAGCACAACCTAGAGCCAGCACTTGGCAGCAGGAAACAGGGACAGTCTTTCTCACGTGGGCACTAGCACTAACTGCGTGTAGCAGTTCAGCCTGCTCCTGGGTCTGCTCTTTACCTTAGCAAACTAGGACTATCAGGGTTAGCAGCCCCTGGCACCCAGTCTTGCATACATAGAATGATCACAGACTTCAGTGTTTAGGGTTGGGAGAGCAGGAACCGGTTTGGAAGTGCTGGGTGGAAGAAACAGGTTTGCACTGTTATAGGTGAAAAGCGCAAGGTATTGTCAGAGCACTGTGTTAGATGGATATTTTAGGATGGGGTGATCTGTGCTCTGTTGCCCAGGCAGCCAAGAAGCCACCAGCATCCTGGCCTGGATCAGCACCAGTGCGGCAGCAGGGCCAGGGCAGGGATTGTGCCCCTGTGCTGGGCACTGGTGAGGCTGCACCTCAAATCCTGTGTTCAGTTCTGGGCCCCTCACTGCAAGAGAGACATTGAGGTGCTGGAGGGGGGCCAGAGAAGGG